TGGTTCTCTGATATGACAGCCTTCAAGAAAAATTTTTCTCCTTGACAAGACCACAGAGCATTTACAAGTTTTCTTCCTCATTGCAGCTGTTCTTCATTTAATGTAATTCCCTCCTGGACCAGTGTTGAACATAGATCCTTTTCTTTGCCCCACTGTGGTGGTATTACCCCATTTGTGTCACTGGACAGAAATCTGAAATAAGATGAGAGCTGGTCCAATCCTGAAGCTTTTATTTGTTTTTTTCCCAGTCCTAAAGTCGACAGATTCTTTTGCTGTAAAATGTTTGGCAAATAGCAGATTAGGATGGTTTTAGTCAAGAAGCTTATGCTGCTTTATAATTGTATGCATCTTTTGTTGTAATAAGAAATACACATTGTAAATGTCAATGTGAATTGTCCACCGAAGGCTGGATCCTGCTGAGTATCCTTAACACTGCATTCCATGGCTGGAGTTAGAAACTGCAGTGCACAAAATGGAACATCATGGGTTAGTTGTAAAGGCGTTCAGTTCAGCTTTAGAGGATGTTGTTGTTAATTAAATACTGAGATGCAAAACGGAAATCTTGGAACTGTTTGAAGTGTAGCAGTGACAGACAAGGATCACCCCTTATTTATTTTGACTACCTCAGAGCTTAGAGTCTGCACTGGGCATAAGGTTGATGCTAAATGTCTTTAAGGTTTGACCAAGTATCAAACATGTGATGGTTTGCTTTGCATGTGCTAAATAACTGCATTGGCAATTAGGTAAGTGTGATTGACTCACTAGCTAGGCCAAATTCAAAACCCAAAAGAGGTCCAAAAAAGCCAAGATCCAAAACAATCAACAAAATCTCAGGGTTTTTTGTGTATACCAGCACACTCCAGATAACCTCTGCGCTCAGTAATGGCAACATTTGATAGAAGTTTTCCTGCCTTCTGTTGACTTGCTTCTCACACTAGATGTTCCGTCAGTGGCCTCACCAGAGAAATATACTGGAATGAAAACTAGCCATAGTCCATTGTATCCCTGTGTTACCAGCACTCATCCTAGCTTGGCATGCTTCTGATAGCAGCAATAAACCTAGCTTTTCATTTTTGAGGAAAAAAATCCCCAAAAAAACCCAAACCAAAACCCAAGCAAACTATTCTTAACAGTAGAAGCAACGGGTAGAGACATTAGAGGTAAATGTGAGCATTGGACCCTGCAAGCTAGCAGAATGGAAGTCTTCCACTCCTCCTTATGGTAGTCTTTTGTTGAGCTTGTGAATATGTAGTGTTGAGTTCAGTGTAATGTTCAGCCCTGCAGTATCTCTCTGCTTGTATGCGGACTACTGCAGGCAGGATCTTGTGGCTGCTTCTTAGATTTGGAATTGTGTTGAATGTTAACTGTTTTAAGTTGGGGTTTTGATTTAGGACTGGAGGACTTTATTTTGCTGCTGGCTCCCACAAAGGTAGGAGCTGATTTAGACACAGTCAGATATCTTTCAGTTAATTCCAGTGCTAATCTTTGTCACTGGGCTATAGTTAACACTGTATTTTGGCTTGTGTTTAGGATATGTACTCAGGAATGGAGGGATTAAAGGTTACATTTACTGTTAGGATCTAGAAGGCTCACAGGTTTGCAATGGAATTAGCAGAGTGCAGTGTTGAGTTTTTTGAGATCTTCTGTGTGACAGGTGTATTGTGAAACCTTAGGTTAAGGTTGGGGTCAGGTCTAGACATCAGAAGAGAAGGGATCAAAGAGTTTATTTTACTGTTCCAAAGAGGCAAGAAGATTCATACAGGATGACTCCTGTCCAGAGTGTTATAGCTCATCATACACTTTGATTCTGCTGTTTAATTAAGGTCTGCATCTCTGAAGAGCTGTTGCGATTTAGATTTAAGCTTAGTATCTGGTTCTGGTGCTTGTTTGTGTCATGTGTCACATTAATACTGAGATTAGGGAACTGTTAAAGGTCAGAATTCAAGATGCAGAGGTATTTAAGTGCTTGGTTTATTTGTATGTTCTCCAGGGCTGTAGAGCTTTGATTAGCACTGATTCCTGCTGCTTTTTTTGGCTTGTGTTAGTTTTGGTGCAGCTGTTTGTTACTGAGCTCCAATGTGAGATTTGTGATGTGATATCTGGAGCTCTACTTTTCTCTTCATACCCTGCAGTGGGGGACAATGGGATGAAGTTTCTGAGAGGGTGTCTAATGTCACTTCCATGCACGTGGCCTTCATTGGCCATAGATCTTCCACAGAGGAATATGGAACGCTGTTTTTAAAATCTATTCTTACCTGCAGAGTCACAGCATGCTTTCCTATTGCAGGGTCTTTTTTGTATGAAAATAAAAATTACTTTAATAATTGACCTTTCATTATGATGGGAAATTACCCTAAAACATTTGCAGACATTAAGCAACAGTATTTTCTTTGATAATACAGAAATGAAATAAGTTTCCTTTTAAGTGTTATACCTTAACTCTTGACTTCCTTTCTTCTCCCTTGAGTCATTATTTCCTGCATAATGTTTTCTTTGATAATATGCCATGGAACATTGAGTAAGGACAAAATGATGAGTTAGAAAGGTAATCAAATTAGGGAGGGGTGCCCCCTAAGAATCATTTTCTGACACCCCCCCACCCCCATCTCATTTGGTCAGACTTGATAGATGTGGTATTGTTTAGAAAGAATAAACCTTTACAACATCTAATAAACTTTTTTTTTTTTTCATATAATATATAGCTGTCTTGATTATCTGCTTTTTTACTTCCCAGTGATGCAAACCAAAAATTTTATACTTAATTTTTGCTTGTGCTTCTTTGTTGTTTAAAATAGTGGCAATCCTCAAAGTACAAGAATTACAATTCTAAAGCGATTCTTGAATCACTTCATACCGGTGACCATATTTCATACCTGAGACCACATAAGAAATGGGATTCTGAGATTGCCTGTCACTTTGGTCTTCAATATTTCATGAAGTTCAAAGGACAAAAGTTGTCAAAAGTACTCACTGAGTGGCATGAGAGGTGAATTATTTTAAGTTGTAAAACTCTTCCCATTTGATTTTTCAGATTTGAATTTTCCCCTAAAGTTGGAGAGGGATCTTTCCCACAGCTTGGGGTGAAGAAGATCAAAACTGGGATCTAGCACGTGGTGTGTTACGCAGGAAAAAAGCAGAATCACTAGGGTGCATTTACAATAATGTGCATGACCTGACTTGCTCTGTTTAAATCCTAAAAATACCACCTGCAGACTACAGACATTAGCAGAAGTAGTTAGATGTCCATGTGTTGGCATAAGAAATGCAGTAACTGTTACGAATGTTGCTGCTTGGTCTCAGTTCAGGTGCTCAGGTGCTCGCTAGACAAAAGCGATGCATGGCATCTCCCTCATTATCAGCCCTTCTTTGTGTCCCTTTGAAGGGACACAAATAGCCAAGTCTTGCCCTTGCTTGCACAGAAGAGCAAAGTGCTGGTAGGGCCATAGCATAGGCTTCTTCCTGAGCTCTTGGTTAGGCTATTCTGCTCAAAGACTAGTGGGTATGCTTCCCTTCCCAGTCTTCCAGCTCCTCTATTCATCTTGTGTATCTGTGCCTGTTGTGTGGATTCCAACACCCAGAAGTGCTCTTTAACACTGTGACATGTGTGAGTACTTGTATTTCTTCATCGAAGCATCACATTTTAAATTGCTCCATTCTTTCCTTTGATTTTGAACATAACTGTGACTCAGCAAGCCATGCAGAAATGTGTGTCTAGATTGCAATGGACTTTGGGACCTAAACTGTGAGAATCTTTGTTGTGGGAGCCTTTGTAAGGTGAAGTGCTTCAGGGAACACCTGACTGTTTCAGATACGAAGCAATTAAGGGTTTTCTGCCTTGCTTTGAAATAAAACCTGTGACTCTGTCAAGACTTTTGCACTCTAAAACTTCACTTTGTCTTTGGCAAAACATGTCGTTTCAATAAGGATAAAATGTATGAAATAGGACAGCAGTCTCACACTTCTGGTCTACAGAGAGTGAGTATTTTGTAATACAGAAGGAAAATAAGTCTGCAAGGACAATTCAGTCATAGTATCTTAGTAGAGGCTGATTTTGGTGGTCAGGATGTTGAGAAATGTCATGTTATACTTCTAGGGCTAGCTGAGTGACTGCTGAACAGATTCCAAATTCCAAAGCAAATAAGGACCAATGTGAAACTCACTTAAGTAGCAACTAGAAAGAAATAATTCCTGTCTGGTATGCACGGTTAAGTCATAGACCAGTTCATGACTGCCTTCTTGCAACTGCAGAAGAGAGTACAAAACTTACCTATTACTTTCCCCCCCCC